AGAAGGCGTGGAAGGAAGGGGATTGCCAGTGGGTTATGCCGGGCACGATGTGGGATTGGAGGTCGGCGTGGATGGTCTGCCATGATTCCGGGTCCTCGGGGGCGGATTGCGGGAGGAGGGGGCGGAGGTAGCCTGGGGTTACCGAGGGGAGGACTTTTGGTTGGGAGGTGATTGTGTCGTAGTATTTTGTGACTGGGGGATGGTGGTTAGTGATTGAGAGCTTCGTGAGAGGGGTTGGAGGATGAGGATTGGGGTGAGGGTGTTTGGTGGTGATGAGATTCAGGAGCGTGTGATGAGAGACTTACTGTCTTCTATGGCCTCTGCGGCCGCGGTGCGGAATTCGGATGAATCCATCTTGAAGAAGGTCTACTGATCGATGTCTAAGTGCTGGTACTGATGTCCTTCGCTCAGAGCCTGGGTACGTGTATTGGAGGGCAGGACTATCCGTCTTATAGAGAATGATATCTCGAGTCTTTAATGCCACCTTTCCAGCAGTATGAGAGACGCACACATGAGATGAAGTCAATTGTGTTGTGGACGTAGTAAGTAATAGCCCGGCCAATCAAGAGCAGTTCACAAACTAGGGTCGGCTGTCCATACTACGTAGACGACATGGAAGTGTGTATCTCTATCTGGTACTCCACCATGGCCCGCCCATCACATCATTGTCCGATTTCCTATTTCCCCGGTTCTTGGAAGGTGGATTCCGAATGCAGTAATGTAATAGGTCAATGGTGTCGAAAGCTGTTCGTCGTGGCGTACGGAGGACTCCACTACTCGTCAGCCAGCCGCGCGGGGCGGCTCAACGCGGGGTTTGTCGCTCGGAACACCGGCCGGAATGCCCTCGGAACGGCTCCGATTATAAGCATAATGCACCCAGCCCTGCTCAAAGGGCGCCTTTTTGACAGAAAGAATGTCAAAAATGCGTTTTGGACCCTCCGCCCTAAAGTGACATGAGCGTCGCAATTGAGTTTTCTGGGTCGCTGATCCCGGCACTAAGGGTCAAGTCCGAGATCTACCTAGTATCTGGTGTACTTTGCCATGTGAGACCAACAAGAAAGCAGCCACCGAATCCATTTTGATCATGAGTTTGACTGCTTTAAAGTTCTATTTTTATTGGTCTTCTCTGGGCAATGCTCTGCCTGGATTTGGGCCCTGGAAACATTTGAAAACCACCACAAAGCTCCAATGGTTTGATAAGTCAACAACACGTGACATCTAGTAAGGACTAGGTAGTCATGGATTGCAAACCGCCAACCAACACGGCATCTACACTCATACCAAATTACTTAATCGCACTCAAACATCTTTGTAGTGCTCACATTGATTCGGCTCCAGCTCCGCCGGTTCACAACGCAGTCCCAGAACATCATGGGCCAGTAGACGTGATAGAGCCACCACGCCGGCAACGGATCCCACAGCTCAAACGTCCCGTCCTTCCAGAATAGCACGTGCTCGACAAACGTCTTCACAGACCGCCAGTACGCCGCAATCGACATTCGGAAGAGCAGTACCCTCGCCGTTGGCAGCAGCAGCAGCGTGAAGAGGTCATGTCCGATCCAGTAGTATTTGGACGGCCTCCTAGGCGTCACCACATCCGTCTCCGAACTGCCCCCAGAGGTTCCCGTCTCGTCGAGTACGCTCAGGTACTGCTCCACCATGTCTGGAGTCTCTCCAAACAACGCGACAGCCGTGTGCGCCCGCGGGTTACACTCGATCGGATACAGCTTCAGCTGCTCAGGCTTACATCCATCCCCCGCCTCCGCCGCAGCAACGTCCTCGTAGCTCACCATGAAATCGAAACTCAGGTGGCCCGTATACGCATCCCCAAACGACGCGGCCTGCTTCCGCGTAAACTCGAGCATCGCCCTCGACAGCGGCGACGAGGCCGGTAGCGCGACGTAGTGCATCAGCAGCTCCGCCGAGCAGCACGCCACAAACGCTCTCACCTCCCCGCGGACCACGAGCGCGTGCGTGCAGAACTCGTCGCCGTCAATGTACTCCTGCAACAGCCAGGGCTCCTTGTCTGACATGCCCAGCCACTCGAGGTGGTAGACGTGATCGTACGTCTGCTTCTCCGTCGGCAGCGGCAGCAGCGTCATGTCGCCGCGGCCGCGGTCGTTGACGCCCACCGACTTTGCGATGAAGCGCGGCGGCGGCTTCCTGGTGTTCTTGGCGGTGGTCTCGGACTCGGCGTCGTAGGACAGTCCCCCCGACGCTTCTTCCAGCGCGGCCAGCATCTCATGTCGGCTCGTGACGAGATATGACTCTGGCACGCGCAGGCCCGTCTCCCGCGTGTGATCCATGAAGGAATCCTTCTCGTGCAGGATCCGGGTGCGCGCGACGTCGGGTTGCACGGCGCGGCACCGCGTGCGGGCCTCGACGACCTCCTTGACGACGCCGTCCTCGACGGCGGACCCGACGCCCGAGCAGCTGACCCAGAGGTCGACCTTCTCTCGCTCCACAATCCTCAGCACCGAGTCGAGGTACGGGTCGGCGCCGCCTCCAGCTCGGCCGGGTTTCTGTAGGACGTGGTAGGCGGCGAGGGCGGTGGACCGGCTGCCGCAGGCGTGGGGGGAGAAGTCGGCGCCCACGACGCGGTGACCGGCTTGGTGGAACAGTCGGGCGAGGGTTAGGCCCTTTGTCATGCCGACGCCGGTGACGAGGATGGTGCGGCGCTGCTGCTGCTGGCGGTCCGTGGCGGCGGCGGGGTCAAAGGCCTGGCCGGGACGCAGGAAGCGCTGCCACACATAACTCAAGGCGAGGATGATCGTCGTCAAGGGGATGAAAGCGACGCTGATGACGATGAGGACTAGATCCTTGAGGATCTGGCCAAAGGGATCGGCTGAGGCGGCTTTCATGGTCGCGGTGGTGCCCGGGTTGTCCCTTTGAATGAAGTATTGCTCCACTAGATGGTGATTGGATCAGAAGGAGACGGGAGAGTGTAAGTAGGTAGGTTGCTGGGGCCGAAGATGAGACGGCGAGTTCGCTGCGTGACGCCGTCGCAGGTTTGGAAGAGCAGCAAGCAGCGTCATCCAATTGGGATGGGAAAGCCAGTTCGGTTGAACAGGTGAAGATAGGTTAGGAAGGGATGAAACTACCTTTTCGCGCTGCGTGTCCCAATCTTCGTCCCAGGATACACGGCGGGCTGAGGAATGTGGAATTGGAAAAAAAGTGTGGCAGGTACGAAGTTTCCCTCGCACAAAAATACCTACCTACACGCGTACGCGGGCATAGGTATCATGATGACCTTCTCCCCGAAGGCTCCGACGCACCGCCCACTTGGGTTGATAGAAGTATACCTTACGTCATGGACTACTGCAGCTATTGGCGCGAACGCACATAACTTTACCTACCTTAACCCCCTCGCCTCGTCGTACCTTGCCTTAGGTAAAATACGCGCCAGAGTGATGTCTCACTGCGTCGAATTATTGGCATGTCGTGTGAGTGACGGGAGCTTCAGCTCCGTCTTCCAACCGGAACGGACCGGATGGAGGGAGGGGGGGGATAAGATGTCGCAAGCTCTAAAAGCTTTGTCAAAAAATGTCAACGAGTGGGGACTTCTCTTGTCTTTTCCCTTTGGCTGAGCATACGCGCGTTGTGTATCATTCTGAAGCTGTGGCTTGAGTGTCAGCGTCGGACAGAGTTCTGGCTTTGCAGGCTGGCTGGTGCCATGTGTTTTTGGAGATGGGAGGATGCGCGGATCATTGACTGCCTCTGCAGGGATATCTGAAGTCAGAGCCCCACAGGAAGTTGGGAAGCCAAGACTTCACCCCACCTTGACATATAGTGTTTTGATACATAATACTGCTCCTCGGCATGATGAAATCAAATATGCTTATAAGCATGATCAAGTGGCATTGATCGACTGCACTGAGTAAGATACGGGTAGTCTGAGCTTCAATACCTTCCTTCAGGCAAGTTCCTTAAAAAGGTAGGACGGCAGCAGATGCCAAAGGGAAAAGGATGAACTGACAAGCCACCAAGCGAAGAAGAAACGGCACATGAGCATGGATACCTTACAAACCATCCTAACATGGAGGCCGCTCATTCTTCCTGTGTCAAGCCAGGATCTCGTCCCTAATACCAAAAGAAGAAAAAAAGGCTTTGCCTGACAGGAACAAGGGGAGGAAACAACCCATGATGGTCTCCAATTTCAATTTCCCCCGCATAACAAACCACCAAAAACCAACCAACCCATCTCCCCCCCCGAACGATCTCCCGCGGGCAATTTAAAGCGGAAGCGATCAGCAATGCGCCATAAATAACTTTCTTTCGCATATGGAGTACTATTACTACCTACACAACCGGCTCACAGCTCCCGAGCGAACGAGCCAACGAACCAACGGATGATCGTTCCGGGAGATCTCCTTTTTGACTCTCGAGAGTTTTTGCATTAACCCTCAATCTAAACTCCCGCGCCGATACCACCGTGGAGACACCCCTTAGCGCTCAGTCCTTCTAGAATCCCTCCTTTAATCGATGGCGATCTAGCTCGAGGGAGTTCTCCTATGGATCCACAGAGGGCGACCATCAGTTTTAGTGAAATCATAAGTCTCGCAGAACTGGTGATCATCAAATAGTGTATGTATGCGGTGGAAGACCATGTAGTATTATCCAACACGTCTATGCCCCAGTATGTTCGCTTACTCCCGAGCAAGCCTAACCAAACGACTATCCAAAATGAAACTATGGTATCATTACTCATTAGAGTCATTATTAACAATAAGCAAAACCCTCCGGTGCGCCGCCCGAGCTGGTCTTGTCTTGCTCAGCTCGGAGCATCAAAGGAGTGTCCGTGTGTTCTGAGGGGTATCCCGTTCCTGATCAAGTCTAATCCGTTCGTTGCCGTTTTCCCCTGCGCCCAATTAGAAAGAAGGAGCGTGTTGCAGAGCGGCCATGTGAAGTAAAGCAAAATTTCCAACGCCTGCCCGATGATGATGATGATGATGTTGATCCAAAAGGTCTGAGGACAATTAATTGCCCAAAAGAAGTCTCGCTCACGCGACGGCAACGGCGGCAACAATGGAGTCGAGTGCTGAGCTGTGAGTCGGCCCGGAAACGCCTTGCGCGGGGCCTGACCAGACGACACCCATCTTGCCAGCAGAGTCGCGGTTGGCGTTCCAGTTGCTGTCGGCGTTTTTGGTGATGAAGGTCTTGAAGTCGTTGTTGGGCGCCGCTTCTTGCAGGTATCGCAGGTTGCGAACAAAGATGCCCTTGAACTGGTTGCCATCAGAGCCGCAGTTGGGCTCGCACGTGTCGTGCAGGATGCCGTTGTCGTCGGCCAGCTGCTTGATGGCCGCCTTGGCAATGTTGGTGGCGTCTGTCAGGACCGACTTGTCGCCATTAGCCTTGCTGAGCTCGACGAGACCGCCGAGAACGACACCTTGGTTGTAAGACCACACGTTGGCGCCGTTGTTCTTGCAGTTGCCGTCCAAGCCGTCGTTGATGGTGCCCTGAGCGTTGATCATGCCGGTGGCCTTGAACCAGGTCCACTGATCAGTCGCGATCTTGAGGTAGCTGGCCTTATCGCCGGAGATGCGGTTGGCCAGCGAGGCGGCGACGCTGAGGTAGAGCTCGTTGGCGATGGCGTTGACGTACTTGCGGTCCTTGCTCCAGTAGATGCCGCCATTGCAGTTGGTATTGCCGCCGGTCTTCATATCGGCAAAGATGTGCACGGCCATGTCGAGGTAGTCTTGGTTCTGGGTAACATCGTAGGCGCGGATCAGGCCGAGCGCCCACCAGCCTTCGTCGTCATAAAACTCGTTGATGAAGTTGGGAAAGCCCTGAGCGCTCATTTGACGACCTTCGATAGGCAGCGGTACCTCGCGCTTGGTGATGGCGTACGAGGTTGTGACAAGGCCAGCGGCATTGATAGACTTGGAAGCTGATGCTGTGGCCTTCTGAGCCTGCTGGAATGTGTTCATGAGAATGCCTCCGATGTTAAGCTCGTTAGCAGCATCCCGGTTCAGATTGGCGAAGTCGGCGAGGGTGGTGAAGGCGTTGGCACTGTTCCACCAGGCGTTGTCCCAAAGACCAGAGCCAACATCGTACCAGGTAGATTCGAGAGTGCGAATGGCGGCAACGGCGTTATTAGTGTATGAGGCGACGTCTGCTCTCTGGGCAATAGGACGAGTGGACATGAGAAAGACTGCCCGGGCTGCGAGCCCTCCCACGTTGGCGACCATGTTGATGATTATTAAGTATAAGGAGTTGAGTAAGGAGGCGGAACAGTTCGTCTGGTCTTCTTCTCTGCTCGAGGTAGAGAAGTGAGGGGAGTGGTGGAGGAGGATATATGTATTAGTTGCAATGGCGAGGGCAAGGAGAGGCCACTTTCGGTAGAGGAGGGCCAGGATGTTAAATATATCAGGAGCGGGCGAGGATTCCGGTCCATGTGCCCCTTGTCCAGGTTTCCTCCGAACTGGTGGACCGGCACAACAGTAATGGAAGTGGTGGGAAGAAGGCGGGTACGGACAAGGCGATGAGGAGGGACGGTAATGCTGATCCTGGACGGCAATCTTGGTAGCAGGGCTCTGAGAAAGTGGAAATCTGGGGCGGAAGTGGCAGCAACAGGACTGGAAGCATGAAGATGATGGGTTGGAAGAAGCGGAGATGTCGTCAAGGTCAAGATCAGCGTCGAGGTGGGATGACGAGGAAGAGGAAGGAAAGGATACATGTAAGCAGGAGCTGGCGCAGGCGCGGCTTTTGCCAACGTCCTGATCCTGCGATGACAGCGCCATGATCCTTTTTGCGTGTGTCTTTACTCGCAGCCTGGAAACAAGCACAAAACAAAACAAGGCTTCATCTGATGTTGTGATCAGGAGCTGCCTTCTCGTCGAGCCAGCACACCGCACGCGGCTGCGCCCTGACAGGGGCCACCCGGCAAAGAAGTACGAAGATCACAGTCAGGGGTCAGACTGTGGTGGCCAGTTGGTGTATCTGGGAAGAGAAGGAGGAAGAACCAAGGAGCGTGGGATGAGATGATGACCAGAGAGGCAAAGCGCGAAGAGTCGCAAGTACCAAGTAGCCGTACTCAGTAGCAAGAGGTAAAGGGCAAAAGAGCAAACTCGGAGTACAGATAGCAAAAGGGGCAAGACAAGACAAGGGCGTTTGAACAGCGGTTCCTTGGAGAGCGAGCGGGTCGGTAAGCGCTGTCGTTCATTGGGAGAGATTCTAACGGGACGAGGGTCTACCGCCAGCTCGGAGACTCTTTGAGAGTTTTGGTCGCTTGGGAGTCGTTGGAGTCTTTGGGGATGGGGAGCTTGAGAGCTGAACGTGTAAAGGTGACTGGCGGTAGATGGTGTTTCAGACAAGATTGTACGTTATGCTGTGTTGGCGGGCGGCGCGAGACCGCACCAACTGGATCTGCGGTACAAGGTACTTTGTGAGGTCCCTGGTGGTGGTTTGTCCCATCCAGGCTTGAGGTACGTACTGCACCGGACCGCTTATCGGGCGATAAGGCACTTGTGACGAACCTTGAACCCGAACCCATCGAGCCAGCGCCTGAGCTGTGAGCAGTGAGACTGTGAGACTGTCACACTCACAGCGGCGCCAAGTTCCAACGCCCAGGAACCAGAGATCGGTATCCGGGCCTTCCATTAGCCACGGGTGCTATGACCAGGGGCTTAAAGGGTGTTGCAAGCCCCATGTCCCCCTTCAGTCTTGGGTCACTTGGCTGGGACATCTGGGACTGGCCCCCGGGCAGGAGGGGATACCCTGGCATCTGCAGCCCCTAATTGGGAAAATCTGCACATCCCGCACCGCCACGTGCGGGTCTTTCCTTAGTTTCCTCCTCCATTCCTCCTTCGTCTGGTCCTCCAGAGATACCTGAAGCTTCTGGTGTAAGAGGGGGACGTATCTTTTCTTTCCTTCTCTTCCGTACACATTCTTTTGCGTCTTTCCCCTACGATAATGGTACACCTTGCTCTCCACCCTCATAGAGTAGTACTCCGATATGCAACGGGCAGCTCAATCTGGCTAGGAACGCCTAGGACAGCTACGAAATCCCAAAGGATGCTGATCCGCGAATATCAGAGGCATCTATTCCAGCATGGTCAGGGTAACATCCACAGAGACCTCTCATGATGAGGTTGCACGTTACACTTGCCCACCAACAAGCTCCGACTGCTGTGATTCATTCCCATGATCCAGACTCGCATTCTAGATCTGCGCTTTATTGTCATGTCTGTTCACTCACTCCGAGTCACCCTTTCAGTCATTGCACAGCATCGCAGCCTCGGGATCAATTCGTTCGCCTCATGGATGCATCATCACCACATCGTTCACCCAGAGCTATTGCTCCGCTGACGTAGCCGAGCAGGAGGGATCATCAAGCTTGTGGACGATGAATGGGCTCCAGACTCAGATGACTGTCCGATTCAGACCGACTATTGACAAAAGTCCGCGAACCTTGTCTTCCCATGCGCATGACTGCGGCGTGCAGTCAAATATTGGCAACATCATGTTCACAGAGTACGGCTCGTCATCCAAGACTGACCAAGAACCATCCAAGAACTCCAGGCCCTGACGCCGAGGTCTCCAATTCGTCGCTTGACAGCTTATTTCCCACGGCAGCGGCGCAGAGGCTGATCTTCAATGCGGTGGAGCGCCATGGAAGATTCTTTACCAAGTATCCGTACCTTCCTTCTCCTGAGAGTCGACTGGCGAGACGGGGAACCAGGGCTCGCTTTGTTTCGAGGAGCTCAACAAGATTACCTCGACATGCAGAACACCAGAGACATGCCAGCAAAGGCACCAGAGCCATCAGTGCCACCCTGGTCCCGGGGGGTGGCTGACGACCCAAGCTGACAGCGGGGATGGAGGGGCATTTTACGCATTCCCACTGCCGGGGACCACCTCGCACCACGAGCTGGCCCGCAACCTGCAGGTGGGAGCCGATGTCGAACCTGGAGCTTTGGATGACAACAGTCATGATGGTTTTTGGCATCAGAACAACCTCTTTTCTTCTCTTTGCGACAACAAAGCTCTCGTCTTTCGAATCAGCATGCTCGACGTGGCAGGGTCGCAGTACTGGCGGCCAAGTGACCCTGTGCAGAACAAGAGCAATGCTACGATGAGGAAAGATCACGAATCAGCCTCAATGGAGCCGTGACCGTGCTCAATGTTCTGGCGATCACTTTGGTTTCGGCATTCGAACATGAGAAGTCACACCGACATTCAAGGCGGCCCGGAGTCTGCGGCCCAAAGATGCGTCTGTTGGATGGATTGAAGCCAACCAACTATCATCCTTCAAGCAAAAAAGTGCTGCCTAACTTAGGTTCTCACCGTAGGCAGCGATGACAAGACGGTGATACCGCGGTTGTTGATACTGTTCTCGTCATCTGCCCAAAGTTCTTTGGGTGAGGGATTTCGCGGGCACGAATTCGATAATCAGAAGAATGATCTTTGGTCAGAGACAGCATATGCATTACGCCCCATCAGCCTTGCTCAGCGCAGCCCGACGATCATTCACTCATTCTGGAGAACCTAAGAGCTACCAGGTAGAGGCACAGCATCGCTCCAAAGTCCCTTCAAGATAGCTGCGTGCAGATGGGCAGCCCTACCGACCGTCATATTGGGCGTACAGACTACAGCTTCTTCCCAGCCCGGCGATCTTTTGCCAGCGAAGGCCTAGTACGCCCGCTTCTTCTGCCGCCCAACCTTGAATTTGATGCATACCGAGCACCAGCTCGCCGTTGCACGGCATACAATTAGCCTTGGCCGCGGCACTTACGTCGTGAAATCCTACGATTTGCCTGGCGCAGCCTGCCGTCTGCACTTACATGCAGATTTGGGGGCGGGGCCGGGTGGGCAGTGTTAGTGTCGGCTATCTGGGGACTTTGGCAATTGTGTGGCCAGGTTACGCCCAGCCAAGACAAAAACCAAACAGCTACCTCACGCAGTACGCTGTTCAGAGCATCAGATTCAGCTATTGGAAAAGATTCGGCAAAGGCGGCGTTTGACGGAACTCTTTGGTTCCGCAGGTTTCTGCATTTCTCGGAGTATCATCCCTTTCACGGACTACGAGTCGGTTATCGGAATGCGACGTTTCCCAGGCCCTCTACGGAAGCTCATCCGGCCGAGAAACTAATTACCATGCCCAGATATTGGTGCGACTTGAACACGAGCGCAACCCTCTGAGGCCGGTCTAACGTAGCTCTCCCGCGATTCAAGAAACGCCGCGAGTTCCAAACCGCCCTTGGAGCACGAACCCGACTACTTGGCTTGGTTTGAGACTTTGTCCTCCTCCTTTTACATTGGGTAAACATTGATCTTCTCATTCATGCACACGCATCACCACTTGGCATAAGGTATTTCAACCACACTCATTTCAAAGATACACTGAACAGCCAGTGTCAAAAAGGTAGAGAGAAGTATCATTGAGCAAGGCTCAACAGCTTTGACCCTGATTTTTGGGTCGCACATAGCACGCGAGAGTACCCCGTACTCCGTACGTCAATCGACAAAACTCCATCTATTCGTACAGAATTTCCACTTCTATGCGACGCCCACGGTATGAACCAAATCGCAGGCCCAAACACGCCCCTGCCTCCTACTCCTGGGCCTGGGAAAGTAGTCCACCACCACCATTTTCACAATCTCTAGTTTCTACTCACCTTGGGGGGTTCTTACGCGTACTCGTGGCTGCTTGCGGTCCGGGCCTTATCGCAAAACACGACGCTCCCACCTTTTTCTTGACAGTCAACAGTGTCTTGAAACGAACCGTTTTACATCCGACCGCGCGGCGGGGCCAAACGCCAAACCTGCGTTCCATTCTTTTTTGTCGTCCCTTCTCCGAATCAGACTCAGCCTCTTTTTTTGAACTCTTGCTCTTGCTTGCGTTCGTTCAATGATTCTTAACTGGTCTGGTCAGGACCCGGCTCTTCGGCACAGAGTCAAAGCTTCCATTTTATACTTTTCGTCCTCCAAAACCGGACAGGAAAGGAATGGAGGAGGGGGGGGGGGGGAATACCCAAAAAAGAGAGAGACGGTTGTCTGATGATTAAATGTTAAACTTTATTGATATCGTTGATCTCGCCTCGCTTATTGCATCTACTGAAATGCCCATCCCTTATTCAAACCTCAAGCGATGGGATTTACTTGATCTCCAATCGCAGCGCATCATATTGGACGTAAATAGCAGGCGTAAGCACGGCGCTCTCGTAATTCGTCGCGCCGTACGGCAAGC